ATCCGTCGTGTGCACATCGACTCAGCGAAGCACCAGGGACATCGTGGGAACTGCAGCCTCGTCCGAAAGGGTAAGGTGAGATTCTTGTATTCTAGCGTCTTTGATAATCCGACTTAGCGGTTCTTCGGAACCCCACTGTGTCATTGGGGGTAGCGTTAGACTACTTGCCTTTAAATGTTCGAACCTCGATTTGGCACACTGACTGCAAAACTTGGAAACTCGATTCTAGTGCAACGAACAAAGTAACAATAGCGAAAACGAACGAAAGAAGAGAGGAGATGAGGGATTCCTAATTTCGTCCCAAGTTCAGTAAACGTGTCTTTGTACAGAATGCTTTCACAATGAATTTGCAGAGATTAACTAAAACTAAACGCACGCATCCCACGATGTCCCTGCGAGATCCTTTGTCGTCCCACGGTGCCCTGCTGGGGTACTAATAGTTTACTTATCAACTAATTGTCCCTACAGTTTAGCTCTAAACTGAACTGTAGGTTGCGTAGTTCTTAGCTTGATATCGTTCTACAAACGTTAAAGTTCGTAAAACATCATCAAACCAAGTTGTAGAATGATAAACGACAAACTTTAATGTTTTAGCTAAGAACTACGCAACCTACAATTCAGTTTAGATCCAAATTTCTTTCCTTTTGTTATTTCACAATCTAAACTGAACTGCTAGTTCTAAACAGGAACAATTAGTTGATAAGTAAAATATCAGACTCCCTAGCGGGACACCATAGGACGATGGGGGATCTCGCAGTGACGTCGTGGAATGCGTGCGTTTTAGCTTTAAGTTTGCGTGCGCTTAGTTTTAGTTAGTCGTAAGACGGTTGTAAATTCAATGTTAGCACACTCTATAGAATGATACGGTTATTGCGAAAGAATTTTTATTTTTTCTTTAAATATGTAAAATATTTTAAATATTATAACTTAATTATAGTTATTTTCAATTTGAACTTTGATTTGTATTTTAATATATTGTGCTTTGGATTACTTTTCATCGGTTTTTCCTTAAAACTTCTTTTGCCGTTCGTTTGTAGAATGATAAGAATTTGTGAACATTTTGCAATCGCATATCAAAAAGAATTTCATTTTTTTTTTTTTTTTTATTGAATAAATTTGTTTTGAAGTAAAAGAAGGATGGATGGGTTTCGGTACGTAACAATCTCAACCAGGGCAATCATTGTTATTTGTGATACAATTATTAATTGCATTCCTACGATACAATTATGAATACCATAACAAATAATATGATTTAATCGGCTGCGAGCACGATTTAGTTTTAATGTAATTAAAGGATTTGTTGAATTATTAGAGAGATCGTTGATTTCTAAAATTATAGATTGAATTTCTTAATGATAACGTATAGTGCATTTGTAAATATTGTGGAAGATTGTGGACTTTAGATTTTGATAGATATTTTAAAACATGATAAATATTTTAAAACGTGATTTGATAAAATGATAGATCTTTTCTATGTTGTCTCCTTTTTGATTAAATATCAGATCCGTTCTAAATATATTTCAATAAATAAAATATCCTGTTATAAGTAATAATTTTATCATTTCCAACGAAAATCCAATCGATAAATTCGTAAACCACGAATAGGGCTCTTTCTGACACATCCATAAGTACATAATAAAATAATTTTAAATACTCGTATTTTGGAATCTGGAAATACCATTAAACATTTTGCTTGTATCGTTTTACTTGGTATAGTGACACACGAGCTTTACATTTCGATATTGAAAGCTTGACAAAACACTGTAATGAACAAAAATCATATTGCTGGCGCATTCACTAGTTCCCCAACTCATCGTTATTTAAACGTGGAATGCGCTAAAAAACCAGTGATTTTTTTACTATGTCGGTCACGAGCCACGAAATCCCGTAAGATGCTTGGTCTATTCATACATCTCGCATGTGTAGTTAGTTTGTGTTTATCGATGTTTGTCTCGATAATAATGAGTATCTTCTTTGTCGGCAGTTTGGAGGATTGCGATAGGGAAATCATTGAATTTATGTTTGAATTTGTCGAATCGGTTAGTGTGTTTGGAGGCAATCTTTCGTTAGCTGACCTTCTTGTTTTACAAAGGAAGCAGAGTAGACTGTCAGTGGAAGTGAAAATTAGGTAGAATATATCCTCAAAAGTTATTAAGAAGATGGATAAGGTTTTTTCAATGTCGTCGGGATCTATATATATATTAACGTTATTCCTTTTGAAGATATTTTCAAATTCGAAGTTTGGTATGAAATATACCGGGGAAATATTGGATAGTATTATTGTTTGAGCCAGAATAAGACATAAATCTTATGTTTGTTGTTGATGGTGATTTTGTGTCATTGTTTCTTTTTTGTTCAAATATGCACAAATTCGGTTGCTCGAAATTTTGGAGATGTATCTTATTGCTTTGGGACCAATTATTATATTTCCTATAGCAAGAGCGTAATCTTGAACTCTATCGTCTATTGCGCGGATGATGATGGCTTGATCTTTTGTAGATGATGGATCGCAGCGTGGGAATAAGATTTTATGGAGTTGATTGTTGATTTCCATTAGGTTAGAATTTGGGGAACCTGTACTCAAAGGTTGCCGTAGATTGGTATTGGTTTGTTCATTCCTGTGTGTTGAGGTCTTGTTTTCACTAACCTTACGCTTATAATTTCACTACTGTATCGGATGTCCGATAGTTAAGCCGAGATTCTCGTAGGAACAATTGATTGATAAGATTTGGAAAAATGATCTCTAACGACTAGATAGTAGATTTTTATGCAACCATCAGAAATTATAAAATTGTTTAAAATGCACATAATATGAAAAAGAGATAAAGTATTCAAAATATACCTAATATTTGTTATAATTTAGTATAAAAAATAAATTTTCTGTCAAAGTTCTATCTCTTCAATTATATAAATTTTATATAACATATTTCTATATATTATCCTATATAATATAATTCATATATTTTCAATAATATAAATTTGCATAAAAATCAGCAGTTTATTAATGATTTTATTAATGATTAATTGTTGATTATGATAGCGAACTTTATTCCGTGCTTCCTAATCTACACATATTCAATGTGTACATATTCTTTTTTCATTATCAATTTCTTTTTATATGCTAAGTTTCGATGTATTTTTTCAGGATCTAAATCATCAATTTCTATGGTACAAAATTTCCTATTAAATTAGACAGATATCTAATCTTTAAATATTAATATCTCATTACATGACACCAACGTACCGCAATCAATTGTGTTCCGTTATAAGGAATCAAATATATAAAGCTCTTCGTAGCTTTATATATTTAGTTTATATTAGTTTATGAGGTACTCGCTGTTCTTAACAAAAAAAATTTTTGATATTTTCTTTCAATACTTCTCTTGTATCGTTTTTGCATCATCTGTTTTTTCACATCATTCTTTTTCATTTATTAAGAATTTTCATGTAGTAACCTAATTATTCTAATATTATTATATTATGCTATTATACTTATAGGATATAGTATCCTATTACCAAAATAAATGTCGAAACAATAGCATTTAACTATATCATAAATATTTTTCATCAGCTTTGTGTTAATTTATAATTAATGAATCATGGTTTTAATATCAATTTAATTTACTTTCCAACATTTTTATTGTTGTTTCTTTACATTTTATTTCACGTTTAGACGTTACAATATCCCTTAAATATTTTTTAGTGATTTATGTGTATTACATATATTTTATGTATAGTATATGTTGCATTTTTTTTCTCGTAGATAAATTATAAAGAGATATTAATCCGAAAATTAGGCTTCAATATTCTTTCATTTATAAGTAAATATTTAATATTTATTTATAAAAATGTACCTTTTAAAGATTTAACTATGATTTTTTTTTACAAAACGTAGAATGTTCATCACAATCTTTTTCTCTAAAATAAAGCTGTCAGTTATGTTATATTGAATTTGAGGGCCTATCCCCTATCATTTACATTAATCTATATTTAATGCGGTTAATTAATGCTGTTAATAAGTCTTTTTTATTATATCGTTTTGTTTTGCTTTGCAAAAATACTCTTCAAAAGTTTTATCATCTTTATTTAAGGTGTTTAACTCGCAAAATAAAAATACCTTGTAAGGAATTCAAATTACAAGGAAAAAAATGTTCCTACAAAAATTATTTCGTACAAAGGAATATATATATTTTTGTGAGTGAAATGGTAGAGGAGGTTTTTGTTTTATTACAATAGTTTATTTTCCTATACTGTACATACAATCCAGAATATTAGCTTTCTTTGTGTCGTGATGATACAAAAGTGTCTATTGTTTCATTGATCTTCTAAACTTCTAAATTTATATTCTTTCATATTGTTTTATATAAGATTCTTATATTCTTATATTCTTTTGTATAAGAATATCAATAATTCTTTTCTTATTCTTTTTCTTAAATTTTATTTGAACACTGCGAGCAATAGTGCTACGAAGAGATGCGGACTCGCAGAGAAATTAACTCATTCGCATCGAATAACTTATACTTAATTCCTCGGTGCTTTTACCATGCTTGTGTTATTTTCGGTAATAATAATGAATATAACTGTAAATCTGTTTATACGATATTATAGAAAATAATACAGTTTGTAATGTACTAAAATAAGCATATTTTTGAGAAATTTCTAAGGATAAATTTAAAAAATTTGGCATTTTATTTTATAATGGAGTGTCCGATTTAATGAAAAACTCTGATTAAAACACAAGATGTTAGACTTATAGATATAAAAAGTTGAAAAGTATCGATAATGACAAGTTAATAACGTATAAATTATTATACAATTTCTTTCTAAATTTATTTAAAAAGTATTTATTAGTTAAAAAATTATAAAAATTTTTTTTAATTCTAGTCTGCAAAATTCCATTTGCAAATGAGTAGACACAAATATGTTAATAAAGAAATATGATCAATACTGTTGTTTAAAATATAATAATAAAGATTTGAATATAAAAATTCTAGTCTTTGAATAATTTTTTGATTGCTTTTTCATAATCATTTCACTGGACTTTGGATAATTCCCATATAAAACAGAAACTACTGAAATTCATCAATAGCAATAAAATATAATACAAATATTTATTTTATTCGACAAGTTACTTTTTTAAATTT